GCTCGATCCCAGGACCCTGGGATCATGACCTGAGCCGAAGGCAGACGCTTAACGACTGAGCCACCCAGGCGCCCCTGTCCCTGGTACTTCTGACTAACAAGCTAGACACCAGAGTCCCATGCTCCCCTCCTTGGGTTAGATAATTTGCTAGAACAGGCCACAGAACTCAGGGAAACACTTAAAACTTCTATTTGCCAGTTTATTATATAATAAAGGATATCATAACAGATACAGATGAATAGCCAGATGAAGAGATACTTAGGGTGAGGTCTGAGAGGGTACCAAGTGCAGGAGCTTCTGTATCTGTGGACTCGAGATGCGATATCCCCCTGGCACCTGGTTGTGTTCACCAACCCAGAGGCTTTCTGAGCCCCATAGTTTAGAGATTTTTATGGAAGCTTCTTCATCAAGTCATAATTGATCATTAACTCCTTTTCCAGCCCCTCTCCCCACTCCAGAGGATGGGAGTGAGGCTGAAAGTTCCAAGCATCGTCTTCTATTTTTTTTAAGGTTGATTTTATTTATTTATTTATTTATTTATTTATTTATTTATTTATCACAAGCATACGAGCAGGGGGAGGGGCAGAGGGAGAAGTCGGTTCCCTGCTGAGCAGGGCTGACACAGGGCTCAATCCCAGGACCCCGTGGATCATGACCTGAGCCCAAGGCAGATGCTTAACTGACTGAGTCACCCAGGTGGGCCCCTCCCCCCTTTTTTCCAAGATTTTATTTTTAAGTAATTTCTACCCCCAGAGTGGGGCTTGAACTCACAACCCCGAGATCAAGAGTTGCATGCTCTACCGGCTAAGCCAGCCAGGCGCCGCTCTAAGTTCCAAGGTTTAATCATGGCTTGGTCTCTTTGGGGACCAGCCCCCATCCAGGAGCCCGCCCAGAGTCACCTCACTGGAAGAAAAGATGCTTCTGTTACTCAGGAAGTTCTAGGGGCTTTCGGAGCTCTGGGTCAGGAACTGGAGTCAAAGGCTAAATAGTAATAGGAACTGGGGGCAGAGACCAACATGTATATTTCTTATTATTGCACAAGGTTGACTGTGATTTTTTTTCTTGTTTCCATCCACATCCCCAACTTTCTTCCTTTCTCATCGTCCTGCCTCTTCTTGCAGAAATTCTTGAATTCGCCAGAGAGATTGGTATTGATCCCATCAAGGAACCGGAGCTGATGTGGCTGGCGCGGGAGGGCATTGTGGCCCCACTGCCTGTGGAGTGGAAGCCCTGGTAAGTTGGCACGCATGCGGCCTGCTGGCCTCGCCTCTCACGGTCACAGGGAGCCTGGCACTGGAGGTCAGCTTTCATTTGCCACCTTTCGAAGCCTGTCCTGCATAGAGTTGGGGACAGCGGTTGGGGACAATGGGGGCCATTCCTCCGTTGCGCTGCCTGATGCTTTGGGTCTGAGCTCAGGCCGACTTGCTCGTCCAGGGTCCCAGGAGCTGCTGCCTTGGGTCAGGTCCCACAACACCAGCATCTGTTTTCGACACCCTGGGGAAGTGTCATTGTTATTCTTTGCAGACTGCTGCTGAGAGTGACAATATGGAGAGCCCCTCAGCATGTCCACGGTGGATCCTGGTGCTAAGAGGCATTGTAGTGGGGCCAACAGACTGGCAGGGATTCTGTCTCCCTTGGCAAACTGTCCCTGACTTTGAGTCGTGGATTCGTTCATATTTTCAGTTTCGTTCTGAGCTCCCTGGATGGTGAGGAGTGGACTCACTCAGCTTGTCAGGAAACCAGGTTGATGGTGAGGAGGCTAACGGGGTCTCGCAGCTGTTGCCAGCACATCCTCGCCTGAAGACCTCATCCTGTCCCACTCTCGGGGACGGGGATGCGTGTTCTCCGTTCTGCAGGCCTGCTCTGTTCTCCTCCTTGTCACAGGCGCCCCGCGTGCCAGCTTGCCTCTTAAAGTGTGTGCTGAGTTTACTTCCTACCGCAGCCGGCCATTTGCCTGCCCTTGTCCCAGCTAGTGCCCAGGTGTCTTCTGGGGTCTTCCCTTCTGCTGGTCTTGTACGGTTTTGTGAGCAAGGTGTAATTATTCTGTTCTTTTCCCTACCATTCGATGTGTTGGCCAAGCTTCAGAATGACTGCAACTGTGGCCTTATCATCCCTGCTGAAGAATCGTACGTAATCCTTTTAGCTTCTCCTCACGTGGTGGGCTCCCTGTTCTCTTGATCTTTTCAGCTGCGTTTCCTTGGATCTCCTCCAGTTTCATGGCATCTTTCTTATTAGAAATCCGTCAGCACTGTGCACAGTATTCCCGGTGCTGAGGATGCACAGTTGTGTTTGTAGGATAAGTTCATAGGATAGTGGTTTCTGTTTTGTTTCCAGTATCGGCCCTGATACCCACATTTGCCTTATCTATTTTTTTCAAAGATTGATTTATTTATTTCAGAGAGAGCGAGAGAGAGTACACGTATGGGGAGGGGCAGAGGGAGAGAATCTTCAAGCAGACTCCATGCCCAGCATGGAGCCTGCCTCGGGGGCTCGATCCCACGACCCATGAGATCATGACCTGAGCCGAAACCAAGAGTCAGACGCTTACCTGACTGAGCCCCTCAGGCGCCCCGACGTTTGCCTCACCGATTAATTTCTATCTTCTCTGTCTTTGTTTTTAAGTTTATACATATGTGTGCTGTTTTGCTTTTGGATCCTTTTTTCTAATGAGAAACCACATGAGAAATATAATCAGTATAGTAATACCTTAATGTACACACACCTAATAAATAAATAGCTGCAGTGTTTGTAAAAAGTAAAGCGGTGGGTGGAAGGAAGGAAACCGTCATTGGTTATGGGCCAGCCGTGCTTCGTGCCGGCCGCCTTCACGGTCCTGCTAGTGGTGGCCGGCGCTCCCTCAGCTTGTGAGGGAGCATGAACTCTTTCGCAATTTTTAAAATACCATAAGTCATTAAAATTTAATGGAACATGCCATCTTCTACCCTTTCAATTGCAAGAGTAACTACTGTTAATTGGTGAATTCCGTCCTGGCCTTGAAAACACACCCCACCCCCCACACACGGTTTTGTTTGTTACACATAAGTATGTCCTATCTACATTGTTGCTCTTCTCTGTCATTGTGTGGTCCACCTCAGCCTTGTAACAGCTACACACTTTTCCATATATAGATGTGCCATAATTTTTAAAAATCCCGATTTATTTAACCACTCTTATATTGAAGGGTGTTTAGATTTTTTTCCAAATTGACCCTATGTGTGGGTCTACTTCTGGTTTCTCTGCTCTCTTCCACTGATCTGTTTGTCTACCTTAACACCAATACTGTAAGTACTGTTTTGATTATTGTAGTTTTACTATGTCTTGAAATCATTTAGGGTAAATCCTCCAGCTTTGTTCTCCATTTTCAGAGTTGTATTGTAGGTCCTCTGCATTTCCATATGAATTTTAGAATCAGCTTGTCATTTTCTACCAAAAAAAAAAATCCTGTTAAGATTTTGATTGGGAGCGCCTGAGTGGCTCAGTCGTTAAGCATCTGCCTTCAGCTCAGGTCATGATCCCAGGGTCCTGGGATCGAGCCCCGCATCGGGCTCCCT